GTGTTCAGCGTCTGCATTTGATGTGTAATGCAATGAATCGAGGTGAGCAGGACCGTTCTCCCTGGGAAGCTCAATCACCACGGGCTGCTGGGTGCGTTTGGCACATTCACTGCGGCAGTGCCACCCCCAGGCGCCTCTGGGCCCCTGTGGGTTTCTGTCGCCCGCGTCATTGTCCTTCATTCTGCAGTGATTGGAGCTGTGTTACAACTCGTGCTGCCTAACTTCACTCTCCGGTTAGTGTCCTGTGGGCGTTTGTAAGTGACCGCTCAGCCCAGAGCCCGCACACGTAATCAGGAGACCACAGCTGCTGCTCCCTGCCCTGCAGAGGTTGTAAGTACCTACTGTAGCTAAAAACCTGAGCTTTGCAAGAAAGAGGCATAGTATACACTTAAGCTACATCATTTTTAATGGTAGAGCTTATTGACTTCTCCATGCGTGATTTCATGTTCTTACCTGAGCCACTTTTCCCCAGGCTGTTACACGAGAGAGCCAAGTATTAAGATTTGCTCTCCAGGTGGCAAGAGGGCACACCCACTGGCCATGTCGGTGCACAGGGCTCCTGCTGCAGCACAGCCAGCAATGTAGCCGTTCTCAGAGTGCAGCCCAGGGCTGTGTCTGTGGCTCCCAGAGATCTTGTCAGGGCTCCCTGGCTGTGCCTTTCACTCCCACCACCGTGGGCTCACCATGGAGGTACATGGCTACAGGTGTGTGATTGTACAAGAACCAAGCAGAGCCCACCACTCACATCTGACTTGTTTTATAAAATATTATTTTTCACAACACATGAACATAATGGGTTTGTTGTGATTTTAAAATGTATAAATTAACCTTTTTTTTTTAAGTCTCAATTTAAACTTCTAGTAAGATTAATGTCAGTAGATACAGACCACAAAAACAAACTCTTTGGACCTAATAACGTAAGGGGGCCTTGAGACCAGCCCACTAGCATCGAGAGTATGCTCTGGGGTATTGCTTGACCATGTGCTAGTTGGGGGGCTACTTGGGCAAACTTTAGTTTCTTCTCCGGTAAGGTGCCCGTGTTCCGGGTGCTTCCCTCCCGTGAGGTCATCCAGATCACGTGGGTTCATATCACAGTGATGGGAAGCAAGACAGGCTTCTAAGCAAACTGCATCTGGACACTTTCCTAAATGCTGTCTACTCCCAGAGCCTTTCATAGTAAAAGCCCAGTGTTAGGGGAAGAAATTGAAGCACTTTTTAGCTACTGATCAAGTTCTCTATTTCTCAGTAATAAAACAGGATTTTTAAAATTAAGGTATTATTGATATACAATCTTAGGAAAGTTTCACGTGAACAACATTGTGGTTACTAGATTCCCCCCCATTATCAAGTCCTCCCCACACCCCATCGCAGTCACTGTCCATCAGCATAGTAAGATGTTATAGAGTCGCTACTTGTCTTCTCTGTGCTATACTGCCTTCCCCGTGCCCCCCCTACATTATGTGTGCCAATCTAATGCCCCTTAGTCGCCTCCTCCCTCCCTCCTCACTGCTTTCCCTTTAGTAACCGCTAGTCCCTTCTTGGAGTCTGTGAGTCTGCTGCTGTTTTGTTCCTTCATAAAACAAGATTTTTAAAACAAGTTAGCTTCTATGTTTTAAAATTCAGATTTAGTTTTAGATGTTTGCTTACATGGTTGATATTAAGTAAAATTATTTGAATCAAAATATAGAGATGAAGTAAAATATTTGAGAAGAGGTAATTTAGGAAAAACAATGCATTGATTTGTTTTAGTTTTTGACATTATTCTGAATGTATGTGGAAGTATTATATTCCCTAGCAAAACCAAGAAATTAATAAGTTAATGAGAAAAATAGAATATTTCTTAAAATAATGGCTAATTTTCTGGCATTACAGTGTGATTAGTGGCTCTAACTTAATGAACTGGTAAGCCAGCGGTAATGAATGTATCCATGTGTCTGTATGCAGTAGCTGCCTTTCATGTTGGACGACATCTCAGGTCCAGGCAGTGAAGCATGGTTGGATCTAAGGCCCTTCTATGCAGAGCAGGGTCCTCAAACCACTGCCTCCGTAGTGTTCAGTTCAAATTTAGGGGATGGTTACCATCTATAATTATAGCTGGGCTTAGATATCTTCTTAGTATTTTATTTTGGTGATTGAAATATTTTCTGCATACATTTTATTCATTCTGGAAATATTTTAAAGGGTCGTTACATGAAAAGTCTTTATTTATAAATTTAATGTGATACAATAACAGAAAAATTACCATTAATTCCCAAATGGTGGATTATAATTGTGTTATTTATTTGAAATTTGAAAATCAAATAAACCTAATTAACAAAATAAATGAAAATGTAAAATATATAGACAGTTTGGGGTACATATATTTGATTTTTCTTAATTGACCTTTCAAATCAACCAACTTATTTGAAATAGTAAATTTTGTAACCTCAAGATGAAATGTAATCATGTATTTTAGAGATCGACTGTTTTACTCTGGTGATTCCCAGAAATGTAGCTGTGTACCTGATAAGCTGATCACAATATTCTAATATTCAGATTTTACTGTTTAATATATGAAGAGTTATCCCTGTAGTTGAGTGCTGGGCATGTTATGTAAAATCCCATGTAGATTACAAGTTAAATTTGACTGTTTTCTTGACTCTGATAACTTTCCTGCCACATCTCCTATTCTGAACTTAAATTTGGCTGTCTTCTCCTACTGTGACTTTCCCTACTTGTAACGGGCACTGGCTGGCTATTCAAGTCAGCCAAATAGAAAGTGTAATGGATTCTTTAACAGCCAGCACACTGGTGACAGGGCCAACCAACATCCTCCTTCCCCATATTCCCTTCCAGGCCCACGCTGGTCCTCCCAGCCTCTAGTTTTCAAGGGACTGAAGGCTTCAAGTAGAAGAGGCACTGGTAGGGAGCCAGGATGCTGTCACTTGGATGCTTTAGTTGAGTCTGAAGACAAGAGTCCCGCCCGGAATGCCAGGTCCTCCCCCTCACCGGGGCCAGCAGCCTCCAGGAGGTACAGGTCTGCTGCTTTGGGGAAGACAGGGCAGAGGACTGCCCTTCTGACCTGGTGGGTAACAGAGGGTCGGGCACTCAGCATTTACTTTTCTGCCTTAGAGGTCAGGCAAACTTAACTGCTCCCCAAGTTGCCAAGTTTCTGGGCTGGGACAAGATGTGTGGGGGAGTCCCGGGGAACAGTGTGTTCAGATGTGCATATTAGCCTGATGAGTTTTGCTTTCTCTTCTTGGAGGGAAATGCCTAATCTCTGCTACCGTGGGGGTGTGGTGGCCCCCTAATCCCATCACCCCTGCCCACAGAAGCCTCCTCTTGTGTGTGATGGCTCGGATGCAGCTCTGGAATCCCATCATTGGGATTGAGTCTTACTCCATGCCACTGGAGTTGTGTGACGTGGGGGGTGTTTCCATGAAGCCCCTATTTCCCACTCGACTGGAGGTAGTAATAGCCAGCAGAGTGCCTGCCATGTTGCACTTGGTCAGTGCATATTAGCTCTCACAGTTACGGTACCACCAACCCCCCCTCACTCCTGGTCCTCTCCCTCCAGCTGTCATGACTTCTGAAGTGCCCAAGAGTTAGGAAATAGCATGGAGAGAGAACCCAGCGCTGATTGATTGCAGCGTCTGTACTGCTGGGGTCCGAGTCGCTGGGTACCCAGCTATTTGTTGGTTTTTCTCCTACGTTACCTCTGGGGCCATGCCCACCAGAAATGGTATTTGACACCTACCCCTCCTGCCTCTGTTGCCCCCTCCCCTGCCTTCAGTGTCTTCAGCTCGTCCTCCACTTTCCTGACATCAAACAGCCCACCGACCACCATGGTTTACACACCTAGTTCCACACCCCTTCGAAATCCTGAAGCCTGAATAGAACACACGTGTGCTTTCAGTACCTGTGACAGAGATCACATGACCTAAACTGCCTCAAACGCGCTCACAGCTGCGGACCGGCTGAGTGGGGCTGCCCTTGAAGCTGTGGTGGGGAGGGGAGAATGCCCGTGGGAGAGTGGGGAGGCTGCAAGGCTTGTCTTGACGCTGTCCCACATAGTTTACAGTGCATACGTCGTGGCATGGCTTTGGGGTGCTGGTGGGGGCTGCGGGGCCCAAATCTACCCCTGCACCCTCAGCCGTGGGGCCACCTACCAAGTTTTGCTCTTGCCCTGTGCCCTACCCAGCAGCACTGCAACTGGAATACACAGGAAGAGGAAGGGACTGAGTCCAGTGACCTCAGGGGCGCCCAGGGCTGCAGTGGGGACCAGAGCTGAGTGGGTCACGTGCTGACGGGTGGCGGCACTGGGCGCATTTGAGGTCACTCACATTTGCATGTGTTTCGCTAACGGGCTATAGCCTGCACAGCCTGTTTAGTCCTGAAAAACATATCCTATGAGCAAATAGTTTTTGGAGCTCTAAACAATTGATAGTTCTCTGTAGGTAATGCAGGGACTGCTTGTATGAAACCTTCGCTTTTTGATGCATTGCTTTGTAATTGTTCATTCATTTATTCAACAAATATTTAACTGTCCAGAAATGTTTTCGTTTACAACTAGTATACAACTAGACAATGCCTCATTCATGTCGAACCACTGCTATAGCAACAAAAAACACTGCTCTGCTTAATCATTCATTAAAATAATGTCTAATATTTCCTATATCACCACTGTAGAACATTATGAAACTGGACTGTTTTGCCTACTCATCGAAAACTAGATTTTTAAATTTAAAAATGACTTTTTCAGCACTCCATGTTATAAAAAACCCAACTGATTCACCGGAATGGCTTTTCTGCCCCTCGAAGTCCCAGCCAGCTTTCTCCGGGGATACCCGGTTGCGGCGCGTCTGCCAGATTTGCCGCCGCCGCCTCCCCACCTTCTTACGGACGCTCAGCGCCGGCATCTCCCCTCCGGCGGGCACGGACTCCGCCTAGTGCGGAGCACACCGCCGGCGCCCCGCGCGGCCTGTCCGCGGGCCTGACCCCGCCCCTGCCGGGGGGAGGCGAGCTCCCCGCCCTCCCGCTGCCCCGGCGCTGGCTCGTCGCGCGAACAGTCGCCGTGACACCGGCTGGGCGCCGCCGGCACCTAGCGGCCCGCGCGCTCGGCTCCTCCTGCGGGCGCGCCTGGCTCGGCGGCTGGCGGCTGTCCCCCCGGGTCGGGCCCAGGAGCCCCGCGGTTAGGGGAGAGCCCCCGCGCCCGGAAGGACGGAAGGATCGGAGGGTGCCGTGGCTCAGAGCCCCCGGCGGGGGCCGCCGGGACGCGAGGGAGCCGGGGATGCCGCGGCCGCACGGAGGTGGGTGCGGAGGGAGCGGGGCCGGGCCCGGCCGCCGATGGGGAGGGCAGGGCCGGGCGGCGCGCCCCCGGAGCTGAGCCGCGCTCTCCTTGCAGGGCACCGATGATCCGCCGGCTCGGAGGCGCCATGCCCTTCCCGCCCGTGCCGCCGCCGCTGTCCGCCCCCGCCCCGGGCGTCCCCGCCGCGCGCCCGCCGCCCCGGAGGCCCTGCGCGCCCCGGAAGGCGGCCGCGCCCGCCTGCTCCCTGCCCGGGCCCCCGCCGCCCGCCGCAGCCGGGGAGAAGAAGAGGCGGCCCCCCGAGCGGCCCGAGGGCCTGCTGTCCAGCTCCTGGCCCTCGGCCACCCTGAGGCGGCCGCCCGGCCGGCGCGCCCCCGGCGCGGCTCCTCCGCGCGCCCCGCCCCAGGCCGCGCCCGGCCGCCCGCGCGCCCCGGCCACGTGCCCCGCGCTCCGGCCGGCCGGCTGCGGCGACAGCCCCGCGGGGGACACGGCCTCGGGGCCGCGGGCTGCCTGCGCGGGGGCCGGGCCCGACGACGCCGTGCGCTTCTCCCTGAGCCTCACCCCCGAGGCCGTCCTGGTCATCCAGAGGCGCCACCTGGAGAAGCAGCTGTTGGCGCGGCCTCGCCGGCTGCTCCCCTCGCCCAACGCCGACCCCAGGCGCCCGCTCGCCGCCTGCCCCCGGGCCAGGGCCGTGGGCCCGGGGAGGGGCGGCGCCCCGGGAGGCCTGGAGGCGCCCCCGGTCCCGGGCCTCCGCCGTCGCTTGCAGCCTCCCCGCGCCCCGCTGCTGCCTGGCGGCCTCCAGGTCCCCGACCCCGTCCCGCGGCCGGCCGACCTGCGCCCAGTGCTCAAGGTGTCGCTGCTCAACGAACGTCACAAGTACGACGACGTGGAGTACGAGGAGGAAGCCGAGGCCCTGGACGAGGGCCTGGTGCGCAAGTGCACTGAGTGGCTGCGCGGCGTGGAGTCGGCGGCCGCTGCGCGCGACCGCGCTGAGCCGGTGGACATGCTGCCGCACCTGAGCACGCTGTGAGCCCCGGCTCCAGGGTACGCGCGGCCTCGAGATGCCACTGCCCACCTCCCGAGCGCACTGCTCCATCTGGGCGACTGTGAGCCGCCTGGGCCTGGTCGAACAGGGTGGGCTCACCCGATGCCCACAGCCTGCTTCCTGGACACACCACCCTACCTGGGCACCCTGTGTGTGGGGAGACACACAGGCTTGTCTGACGTCCACCGCACCCCTCCGAGTCACCTGTGATCCAGGTGGGCCCGCATGAGACAGGCTTGCCTGACTCCAGTGGCGCACCTCCTGCCTGGGACAGCCGACCACCCTCCCTCACCATGCCTGTGGGTGGTCTCTACCCAACAAGTATGCCTTCTGCACCATCTGGTCACCTCTTGGCTCCCACAGGTGACCTTGCAGCTCGTGGGGGAGGAAGCAGCGGTGGAAATGCCTCTCAGCTGCACCCCCACCCAGGGTTCATGTAGGTCCTGGAGACCCTCTGCCTTTGGGGCTGACCGCAGTCTGTGTGTGCCATTCTGGTAGGGTGCCCTGGTCTGAGCGGCAGGTGACAGCTGGCTGGAGGGTGGGGACCACAAGGATGGCCGATTTTGGTTTTTCTAAATAGAAATTCAGGGCTGTTGGAAGGCTGGAAACTCAAACTAACCGGGTTTTGGAAATTGGAAGGGTGAGGATTAGCAGCATCACCACCGGGTGAGTGGACGCGCTGCCAACCCCAGCTCTTGGGTTTCTGCAGTGACGGTGAGGCTGGGTGCTCTGCAGCTACACAAGCCAACACAAGCACGCACACACACTTATGTGCTCACACCTGCACATGCACATACACCTGCACACACACACATGCTCTCACACACTGTACCTGCCTGCAACACAATGCCCTCACACTGCACGTGTGCACACATACATGTGCATGCTCATAATGCACACTCATGTTCTCATACATGCCCATAATGCATGCACACACTTCCCCTTACACTCACACACATGTTCTCACACACACCCTTACACAAGTCTCTTCTGAAGCACAGCTGTGGGAACCATTTTCATTGGCTGGGCTCAGGTGTGAGCAGAAGCAAGGGTTAGCTTCTGCTAAAATCCACTGTTTTTATTTGAAGTGCTCACAAAACAGCTTTTGTGCAACAGAAAGAAAGGGTAACCAAGTGGAAAGGGGAAAATGCAGAAAGCTGTATCCAGACACAGAACAAAGTGTTCTGGGCCAGAAGAGCAGTTTATTTGAGGGAGAAAGCAGGGACTCCCTACGTGGGTGCAGGATGGATGCAGGGGCTTCAGTATTTTTAATCACTGTGGAAAAATCAGTGACATGGTGGCATATACAGTTGTACATAGTGATTTTTAAAAAAGAACATTTCTATTTATTGTTTAAAGGGTAAAACTCCTCTGCCTTTTAGGAGCCATGCTCTTCCTGCTAACTCCAGGCTGATTTCTAGATATTTCCTCCATTCATCTGAGTATTTAACTCTAAGGTTGAGGAGGAAAAAATGTTATAATCAGTAAGGCTACTTATAGAAGAGCAATGTATTACCTCAAATTTTTACTTATTTTGTAAAAGTCAATAACTAGATTAATATTGATCTCCTTAAAAGTGTCAAGTCTTAATTATATTTTACATTGAAGCCTTACATTTTAGAAACCAATTTTGTATTTTTCTTGTGGCCATTTGCCCTCGTCTGCCCCCTCTCTCTCCTTCTTTGTTTCTGTTGGGCACAAATCTAGTTAGACGTGAAGCATTTAATTCAGTGGGAGCTACATCAGCCACCAGATGCGTAGCAAAAAACAAAACCCCTATCCACTGAAGGGCTTGTCTTTTCTGACTCCAGTTGGAACACAGAGAGCTAGTTGTCTCTTACTGAAAATGAGCACATTAATACGAGAGAGGCAAGGGGTGTGCCCCCAGCTGTGGCCCTGGAATCTGCGGAGCCCAGTGCTAGGGAGGAGAGGGGCCTGACTGTGTTCAAGGTGGGCAGCACCTCCCAGTAATTCAGAGGTCTAGGGTTCTGCTCATCGGCACCATAACACTTGTCAAAGACTTCCCTGAAGTAGGGGCTTCGTGAGTACCCTTCCGTGCTGGCCGTGTGCCATCCAATCCTGCTGCTGTTACAGGGCGGGGGCTCTCTGTCTGTGGGTCTCTGTGTCCCTGCCCGCCCCCTCGTTTGGGTCCGTGCCTCCTCCTCCCTCTGCCCCTGGGTTCCCCAGCCCATCCCTGTCTCACAGGCCACAACCGGACACTGCATCCTTTCTCCTCATCTGCATTTGTTGAATAGTTTTGTGTGCCTTCTTCCTCCCTTTAAAAGAAGATGAGTGGAGCGTTTATCTTACTCTGGTTGATGACCCTCAATAAAAAACAAAACTGGTTCTATAGATGACACACGGCATCTGTTTGTGCTGTTACTGACGTTCTGAGAAAGTTTTCCAAGTCCTTACACTGCAATTTCTTAATGTTCAAATAAAAGAGAAATTCAATGCTGTGCATTGCTTTTTGAGGAGAGTGTAAAAGCTGGTCAGGAGGTCACAGAGGTATCTCAGCTCTGTCTGAGATGGTCTCCCCATAGAGCTGCCCCGCTGAGGGACTCAGGTTTCCAGGGGTGGCCAAAGGTTCATTGGCTTCAGTGCCTGTCAGCAATTACCAGGATTCTGAGAATTCTAATGATAATCAAATATCGCAGTGAGGCTATGTGGCAATGTTACTTAACATTTTGTCAGGTCACAAACCCCCATGAGAGCCATATTCCAAATCTATCCCTAAGAATATGCACTATGTAACTAGAATTTGTGTGTATTTCAGGAAGCTCGGGGACCCCAGGTTAAAAGCTCCTACATATGCTCACTGGAACATTTTTCTTTGGCCAAAAGTAATTTCAAACTGGTAGGTGATACCCCTCAGAAGTTGGGGGTCAATTGAATAATGGCGAGGACTCTTAGATTACCAAAGAGGGGAGATACCACTTCATAAATGTGGTTTGTTTTAGAATATTTGGGTTCGTGAAAAAAAAGTAATAAAGGGTGTCTGCGGAAATAAGGTTGGGAGCCACCCTCACTCTCACTGTAGAAGTGGTGATGTTACTGTCAAATTCTCCCATCACGAGACCTTCCCTGGCAGGGGAGGCGGGACTCCCAGTGCTTAGAGCAGTAGTAATGAGACCTTAAGTGCCATGCCAGAGGTTGAGCGCATATGACTTAATGCCATATATTTAGGGCCCTTTAAGATAGGTTTTTCTGTCTATCTGCTTTATTTCTGGAAAAAGTAGATACCAACAGGTCAGAACGTTTAGTTCTGTAGCTTCCTCATAAATTGCACAATCTGCCTGAGGGTGGGTAAGCAGTGGGATTTGGTTATATCACTTATTCTGAAGTTGTACATTTGTACCTTTGTTTTAGCATGGAAATTTAGGCCAACTGTGATGTGTCATTCACAGCACGCCCTGAACCATGTCTATGTATAATAAACAATGAGAACATGTGTGCATTACCAGAAATGCACACAAATGCCTTTGTAACCTGTGGGGTGCTCAAGGTGGCCCCTTTCAGACTGGCACTGCCTTTGTCCAGATGCTAACTTGTTAAGAGGCTGCTGCTTTGGTGGCTGGGGACCTGCCACTGGTGCTGGCCCCTAGCTCAGAACTGGAACCCCTCTGCAAGTGGTCTGGGAGGAGGCATCTCACCAGGTCAAAGGTCGCCATGGAGCCTTAGTTCCGTACTGATGCTGTCCTGTGTCAGCCGTCTCTTGTTAAATTTCTGCATCTCTGTCTCCTCTTCTGTGTAATGGGGATGAGAGGACATAGCAGATCCTGTAAGGATTGTGCTGAGGTGTGTATATGTAGTGCATTTACTACAGTGCCTACATGTCACCAGGTCAAGGTCAGCTGTAATTATTACTACTTTAAGAAATCTTCACTACTCCAAAAACATTATTCTCTGGCACTTCATATGTGCAAAATCAAAACCCTCCCTGGCTACAGTATTCTACGGTCTTCTCTCTAACCATTTAATGCACACCTGTGGGGGTACTACACTTTTATTTCCCTGAAAAGTTTAAAAATAAAAATGTCTACTGTGTTTTGCCTTCTTATCTCAAACTTATTTATTATTTATATCTTGAACACAAAGTTTAGCTCCGAGCCTCCTGGTAGTAAAGGTAAGATTAAAAATAGTAAAAAATCTCAGTATCTAATAACAAGAAACACTAACCCATTACAAAAGAAAAACTTTTTCTTAGAGAAAATTATCTGTGTTAAGTATATATTTATGATATATAATATAATACACAGTATCCTTAGTGCAGTTTCTGGAAGATGCATGCATGTTCCTCATATCACTGTTCAGTCTCATCCTCTCCCACACTGGGCCATCCCATCCTGTGGGAGGTGGATTACATGGAAACCTGTGAAAAATGGTAGAGAATCTTTAGGAAGTAGTTTTAGATCCACTCATATCTTTGACGAATACTGCCCTAAAACCCCAGAAAGTTATACACCAATTTCCAGCATTTTTGGTCTCAAGACTCCTCTATACTCTTAAAAGGTATTGAGCTGTTTATGGGAACCATGTCTGCCAACACTTCCTGTATTAGAAAGAAAAGCAGAGAACCTAAAAAGGCCTCAAATATCTTTGAGCCACACACTTTGAGAACCATATACATCAGTTCCTCTTGCTGTCATCTGGGCCAAGTGGGCTACATCTGAAATACTAGGTACACAGTCCAAGGTACAGATGATGCAGGCCCCAGACCTGGAGGTCCTAATTCAGGAGACTTGAATGCGTCCCTGGTGGAGCCGAATTGAAGCAGGTTTGGGAGCCACTACTCTAAAGCAAGAAACAACAGTACTCAGAACATCCTTGAGGCAGATCTTAGCAATTGTGTTCTGTCCTGAGACCCCAGACATCAATGTCAGCATCTCCTTTTCTGGGTGTCACACCCCTCTTCCTAGCCACAGGTGACACACAGAGAGAATGAGACATGGTGACAGAAATAACGAAAGCTGTCCCATGCCAGCTCTGCCCCGGCTCAGCGTGGCCGTGGGGACAATGGTGCTGGGCCATACAGATGGCCCATTTCTGGGGGCCCTGCCCCAGCCCCTCTGCCAGAACCCCCGACACCAATGGGTGTGCCAGGTCCTGGTCCACCTCTGTCACTGTAATGTAATTGCTTCCCTGATAATGCATAGGAAGCATCACCTTCTAAGGCTCTGTCCCATAGTATCTCTGTGCTCTCGGGGCTGCAGACACATGCATTTAGGTGTTGAAAAGCCACCTCCGAACACATTCAGTATTTTCTGATGTTACAAACCCACTCTAATAGATATTTATGGAATATTTTAATTGGAGCAGGATAGGACCAGAATTATTCATTTATTCTGTCAGCAAATATTTACTCTGTTTCTCTGGGATGAGGGGTACCTGAGATACAAAACGAATTAGACGCTGCTCCCGCTGTAACTACACAGAGGGACCTGTTAAAGGACTAATTTAGGATATTGTCCGCCAAGAGCACTAATTTGGGTTGGAGGACAGTCACTGTTGAGCCGCTGTTTGCACAGCAATTGGTCTGTGTTAGCTCGGCTGCCGTAACAGAATGCCGCAGCCTGGGCGGCTGAAAGAGCAGCAGTTTTCTCACAGTCTGGAAGCTGGAAGTCCTAGTTTAACATACTAGAAAATTCTGTGTCTGATGTGAGCTCTCTCGCTGGCTTGCAGACAGCACCTTCTTGCTGTATCCTCACACGACCTTTCCCTGTGCCTGCACGGAACGGGGTCTCTGTGTCTCTGCCTCTTTTTATAAAAGGACACTAGTCCTATGGGGTGAGGGCCCCACCCATGGATTTCACTGAGCTTTATCCACCTCCCTAGAAGCCCTAACCCCAGTACAGCCACACTGGGGTCAGGACCTCAGCATGTCAGTTTGGGGGGTGCAGTCCAGTCATAATACTATCCAGGATTTTGGATGGTTTTTAAGGTCCCTTATGGGATGTGACAGCAAGAAAGGATGAGCTTCCTGCCAGTGAGGTGGACACACACACACACACACACACACACACACA